GCTGGGGACGAGATCGGTCGTTCCGGCTCCTTGTCTCCTGCTGAGGGACCGAAAGCGTACCTGGAACATTATGAGAATGGCAACTGCTCTTCATGTCCAAGGTTCCACAGATACTCGATGTAGTCCACACGCTTGTACAGGCTGACCTACCTCCTTCTACTATTCTGCCTCTTCTTCCCGTGCACCTCTCGGTACTCAAGGAATCCTGGGATCGCCCTGTGTCAGTGCCTCCATTGTCTAAGAGGTATGAGGCTCTGTATAAGATTCAAGAGTCTTCAGGTAAATTTCTATTCAATCACCCTGCATCCAACTCTATGATCGTCCATTCTTCTTTGAAATCTAAACAGCCCCGACAGGCTGTTCCACCTGACAGAGAAGGTTGTAAGGTGGATGCTCTTGCTAAAAAGATCTATACGATGGCTTCTATGAACACCTGGATCAACACCTATCTTTCCTACCTGGAGGCCTATACTTTTGTGGCCTCAGCTGTTTGTCCAATCCTGGACTTAGTACCGGACGAGGTCCTTCCTACACTTTTGAGAGCTTTGTCGGAGATCAGTGCCATTTCAAAGCAGCAAATAAACTCTGTTCACCATGCTGTTACTTGCTCTTCCAAAACTTTGGTGTCTTCCATAGCCTTCCGTTGTCATGCTTGGCTTCGATTGACTTCCCTGCAGCCTGATGTGAAGTTTAAAATCGAGGATCTACCTTTCGATGGTGAGGGCCTTTTTCACGCTTCCACTGATGACACCTTAAAAGCTGTGAATCATAGTCGTAAGAAGGCTCAAAATCTCGGGGTTTCCTCTTCATCTGCCCAGCGTCTTCAGTACTGACAGTGGAGACCATGCTATAATAAGCACCAGTCTTCTTTTATCACTCCTGCTCAATGGAAACGCAGGCCAGGGGATTCTCATCCAACCTTTAACCAGAAATCTAAACCTTCCACTAAACGGGCTCAACAACCTAAACAATCTGTTTGACCTCCTTATTTGCCTGCTGCCTCCTTCCGCAGGGACTCGTCTTCTTCCTTTTCTATCAGCCTGGGTTCCCTTTCCCTTTCTATCAGGCATCCGGTTCTGGAGATTCTTCTGTCGACAGATGCCTCCCTCTGGGGTTGGGGAGAAGGACCTGGTCACATTGGGAGACTGCTTTCCACATCAATTGTCTGGAGCTCAAGGCTTTCTTTCCAGGTACTTAGTTGTTCAAGCAAAGTGCCAGTTTTGAGTCTGTACCTAGAACTAGGTACACATGACAGATTTTGGATTGTTATTGCATTGTCCTGCTGCTTAATGGTTCCCCTGCTTGAGCTATTTGGTGGTGCTGGATTTGTTGTTGATATATCCCCAGGCTGTTGAGACTTCAGTAGCCATGCTGGTTCCCCTGAGCGGTGTGATTTAGGATTATCTTAATTCTCATGCCTAGAGCAGGCCATGTGTCCATTGTGGTTTTCTTTGCTGGCCCATTTTGATCTAGTTCAGGTGTGGAGGGCATCTCAGTGAATCTTTTCTCCTAGATTGACCATTGCCTGGTAATGTTTAGACTCACAGAGAAATAGAGTGTCTGTGGAGGGTTGGGGACACATTTGGATGGTCTGTCTCTGGAATCAGATAGATCTGGGGGGATTCCAGACGTCCCTTAGGAAGTGTTTGACCAGTTCTGTTGGTGCTCATGTCCATGCCTTGCTCAGTGTATGGAATGGTGGAATGACAAGGGCAATTGATACGATCCTGACATTCTCTGCCTTCTCATCAAGCCACTGTACACCTTTGGGTTTCAAATGAGCTCAGGATAATAAAGTAGGTTTGTAACTGTTTCAGAATGCAGCAGCTAGACTACTAGCAGGTATTACTTACAGCCTTATACTGGGTGCTGGCTTGCTTCTGAGTGTAACTCGAAGTACGGGTGTTGCCCTTTAAGGCCCTGCACTGCCTGCGACCAGGGTACACAGAGGACCACTTTCTTCCATGTACAATGAAAGATTGGTTAACCAACCTCCATGGGAAGTTGGGGTTGCCAGTTAACCTCATATGCTAGTTACCAAAGCTTTTATAGCCCAGCTGTGCTAAGTGGCTGGCCGTCATGACCAGGACAATACGAATTTGCAGCAGAGACAGGGCCTTCTCAGTAGGTGCACCCAAGCTCTGGAATTCATTCCCTATAGAACCTCACTTGGTGCCAAGCGTATGTTATTTTAGGTATCAGGTGAAGATGTTTCTGTTTTCTCACTACAGTTGGTTTTAACTACCCTACCCTGACCTGGATAGCCCAGCTAGCCTGATCTCATCATACCTCAAAAGCTAAGGAATAACAGGGTCACTATGCAGAGGCAGGCAATGGCAAACCCATCTCGGAACATCTTTGCCTTGAAAACTTGCCATAACTCAGCTGTGTCTTGATGGCAAAAAAAAATCCTTTCTTAATATTTTTGATCTGTGGGCTTAGGCTCACTTTAATGCTAATTGTGACCTTATCACTTTAATGTCATGTCTTTTAGCTCTGGTTTTGAAATTAATGGTTATGCTTCTTTTTAATTTTTCAATTGTTTTATTACGTACATTGAAAGTTGCCTCAGATAACAATTTTACAGAGAGGCGGGTTGTAAACATTTTAAAAGAAATAAATTATTTGGTTGGTCACTGTGGGAAGCGGCGAGCTGGAGTGGATGACGTTGGACTGACCTAACAGGGCTCTTATGTTCTTATGCCAAATGTAGAGATGTTCAGAATCTGGAATTTAGGCTTATTGCAATTGTGTAATCCCCGTGTGTAGGGAGAGATGCATGTGCCCACGTGCACACAAACAGAGTATCGGTCTTAGAACATGGTTTTATGCACAAGCTTGAGTTTTCAGAAGTAGTTCCACAGCTGAAGCTCATAGCAGAGGAATTGCCCTTTGAAATAATGAGAGCTGAAAAACACAGTGAACGTGAGCTGCTTTTCCATGGACCCAGTTTGATCCATTGTCGCTTTCATCCATCACATCTTCAAATATCTCTGCAGCCTAGACACTGGCTCGCTTGTTATAAATAAAAGTTGGGTGTCTCTGCGCTTTGGAATCATCAGTTCTTACTTATCACCAACCAAGGCTCCCAAACTGAGTCACGAAAAAATAGTTTGCACTGCTTCAAGGATAATCACTACTCAAGCTGACTTCAGTGGTATGCACCTGGCAGTATCCACAACTGATATGAAGAAGAAGAGATTGGATTTATACCCCACCCTTCACTACCTAAAGGTGTCTCAGAGCGGCTTACAAACTCCTTCCCCTCCTCCCCACAACAGACACCCTGTGAGGTAGGTGGGGCTGAGAGAGCTCTGACAGAAACTGCTGTTTTCCAAGAACAGCTGTGCCAGAACAATGGCTTGCCCAAGGTCATCCAGCCAGGTACAAGTGGAGGAGTGGGGAATCAAACCCGGTTCTCCCAGATTAGAGTCCGCGCACTTAACCACAACACCAGACTGGCTGTCTGAAGAAGGGATGGAGAACTTAATTGATGGGAGCGGTGGCGCAGGCGGTAAATGAAGCCTGCAATTCCATCTGTCGAACAGCTTCGGCTGTTCGAGCCCCACCGTGGCCGAGGTGAGCTCTCGGCCCATGTCCCAGCTCCCGTCCACCCAGCGGCTCGAAAGCCCGTTAAAGGGCAAGTAGACAAAATGGGTACCTGCTCTTAGAGCGGGGGGGCACCCATCCTTCGTGGTGGCAGAGCAGCGGAGTAGTGGCGGTGGAGAACATGGCAGCGACGGCGAATTGAGCGAGCGAGGCTGGGCTGACGGAGCGCGGAGGCGGGGCAACGCAGCAGGCTAGAGCTTATCGGACAGAGGCCGCAGCAGGAGCACGTGCTGACGCGCCTTCGCCTAAGCCTGTGGAATCGCAGCAACTAAAGAGAAGACCCGTGCCAGAAGACCTGCACCAGGAAGTTGCCGCCGCCGGATTGAAATACCTCCCGCAGAAAGATTAAGAACAACAAAAGACTCCGTCAGATTCAGGGTGTGAGTCATATACAAAGGGAAAGTTGTAATAATAATAAATAATAATAATAATAATAATAATAATAGGCTCAGCCCAATCTGGGGCCCAGTCAGAAGACCCAGATACGAAGACAGGCAAAGCGTGTGCTCTTCCACTAAGCTATGGCCGATTCCCATGATTTACAGGCATTAGCTCTCCTTTATTAGGGCTTTTAAGAAATGTTTTTTTTTCCAGCCCTCCAACCTGAGACCCTTTCATTGGAGATGCAGTTGGTTAAGCCAGGAATATTCTGCAAGCAAAGCTCCACAACTGATCCATGTCCCCTCGCTTATCAAGATGCTTCATTCGAAAACACACTAGTGGTCCAGGACGGTCTGCTTGGCAGTGGTTCACTGAGATCTCACACAGAAAAGTCTTTTCACTCTTCAGTACCTCACATCCTTTGAGAAGAGACTAGCACATCCTGCAAGCATGAGCTATGAACCATCCAGCCCAGCACTGTTTACTCAGACTGACGGTGGCTGCCTCAAACCCCAACCCAGGGACACGCTCTGCGCAAAGTCTGTGCCACTGCCGCTCAAGCAGACGCGGGTCCCCCTTCAGCAGGGAGATCAGCTGGGACTTAACAAAGCACAGAAGTCACGTCCTTCTTTGGAAATGCAGCAATTTACAAGGCGTTGAAAATGCCTGCAATCTGTCTTTCCACAATTTCTGGCTGGAGGCCCAAGATAAGTGTGGCAGTGTCTGTACCCAACACTATTATCTGCCAGGGATAATTTGCAATTTTGTTGATATTAGCCTAGCATCAGAAGCATCGTTAGGATGGCTTGCTCAGAGTCCACCTGAATTACCTCTCTCAGTAGTGATGATAACCTTCAGAATATATAGGGGATAAATAGCTTTCATAACGTGTGGCGTTCTCCTCCCCCTCCCCCCCTCCCCGCATTGTTTAAATTGTTCTTGTCTAGGGAAGTTTAATCTTTACTGACCTCGAGATGACTCATAAATCATTTTTATGTATATATTTATAGGTTCTGCAAACGTTTGTATCCATGGCTCGGAGCAACATAATTCCCTGACTTCTGAAATTCATTTCCTGAGGAAGCAAAATCAGCTTCTGAATGTAATGCTGGTGAAAGGATCTCGAGGTAAGATAAGACAACTCGATACTTAGGGAACAGGACAAAATGTGGAGAGGGCCTATCCTTTGAATAAGTACGAGAAACGAGAGGACGATATTTTCGTTACGTTCTCAACAGCGTGCTTCAGGGAGCCTGTTTCTTAACTGTTAGGCATTATAGCAGCTGCTGCATTCAACAGACTCTTGAGAATGCCTGTTTTGATTTTTATTTCTTTGACAAAGGCATCGTGGCTTTGTGCCATGTCAGTGCGCCTGCCTGGCTGCTGGCACAAACAGTAGTCCTGCAGAAACCCGTGGCACAGACGGCGCACTGCTGCAGAAGGGGGTCACGTCTGTCATTTAACATCTTTCCTCTAAACCCTGCTCTTTGCGCCCTTGCCTTCAGAGGTGAGGCAGGTAGTAACTAGAGACGGGGCATTTTCAGTAGTGGCCCTCTTGCCTTTGGAATGCCCCTCCCCCTTGAAATCTGTTATGCACCAGGTCTTTTTACCCAGGTTTTTAACTAAGGGGTTTAAAAAAAAAATTGGGCTGTTTATGATCTGCTTCTGGTATGTTTTATTGGTTGGTTGATTGATTATTTATTTATTATTTGTATTTATAGCCCGCCCATCCCGTAAGCGGGCTCAGGGTGGGTAACATAATAAAAACAGTACAATAAATACAATTAAAATTAAACAAGTTAGGAATTCAAACAGTAATAAACATTAAAGCTCAATCACACTTCTGACAGTCACTGGTTGTACGGTTCTTTAGCATATTTTGGGTTAATCGATGGATAGGTGACAACCACCTCAGGGGGGCCATATAAAGACGTCCTCTGCCTCAACTAAAGGCCTGGCGGAACAGCTCCGTCTTACAGGCCCTGCGCAATTGAAGAAGATCCCGCAGGGCCCTAATCTCGACTGGGAGCATGTTCCACCAGGCAGGGGCCAGGGCAGATTTTTTTTGAAGTTTTTTTGAAGTTATTATGCATAACCTTGGCCCCTGACATTTTGTGGTTGGCTCTGCCTCCTGTGGCGGCCTATTTGTTGTTGTCCCCACTCCCCACCACCCTGTGTCAGAATTACAAAGATGCCGACAGCCGCTGAGCCTCATACTGTTCTCCCAGATTTACTTTTACCAATATTAGCAAGATTATCTTTTCAGTTTTCTTGATAAAGGACATTCACTTCTCAGAACCTAATTTAGTAATTCCAACAGAGAGTGTGTTACAAGTTACAAGGCTTCGTGCAGTTGAGGCATCCTGTGGATTAAACTTTTCTATCTCTACCAAACAACTTTCTGTTCCAGAAGCACAGAAGAAAATTGGAATGCCAAAACTGTAAGCACCGGACGAGTATCTAATTTCAGCCATGACTTCCTTGGTTTTGATTTTGTTTTCTTGGGATCCTCCTCCCTGCAGCGTATCTTGAATCCCACAAACAGTTTTGCTTAAGATCAGCCGTGGCTCCTTTGAACAACTTGAGGTTCTTCTCCTTGCAGACAAACAAAAGGAAAACGAAAAGTTGCGTGAATCGCTTTCAGTGAAGAATGTCATTGTCGAGCGCCTTCACAAGGACTACGAGTGCATGAAAAAGGAAAACGAGAAGCTGCAAAAGCAAGTGGGCAAGAGGGAGGAAGAGAACGGGCAGCTGACGCAAGAGGTTTATAATATCAGAAATGAGTTAAATAGGTAATAATCCTACCATTGCTTAACTCTCTGTTGATGCGAGCCAGGTAGCTGATTTTCTGTCACTGTGAAAATGACAGTCCCTCTTAATCTGGAGTGGCCAGAAATATAGGCAGGGATTGGGGGTAAAATGGACTTCTATCCCAATGTTATTACCTTATAAGCGACTCCAAGGATAAGCTTTGTTTCACAATGCGGGCCGAACCGGACATTATTTGTAAACCCGTTTTGAAAACTCAACAGCCAGTTTTTCCCCGTAAAATCATCTTTTTGGGGTGGATGGGTATGGCACCTGTCAATGTATTACATTTTTACCGACCTTGCCACAAATTTGCAGCAGTGTATTTCACTTGCTGCTCCTCCCACTCCATTTTATCCTCACAACAACTTTTGAGGAAGATGACGCTGAAAGAGAGAAGCAGATGCATGAGCTTCATATCTGAGTGTGGATTTGACCCCAAGTCTTCCTAGAAAGGTGAGAGTCCAGCATCTCACTAATATGCCACACTGGCCTTAAAATGGACACCATAGCGGTGTGTGTGTTTGTGTAACCTCTTCCTTTCCCACCATTTTTTGCTTCAAAGTATGCCGCTTCCAGTGGTGGGCCAGGTGCATGTTTACTCTTGCAAATAGGATCTGGAACTCCACTGGAGGGCAATCACCTGGGGGCAGAAACAAATTACCCATCAGGGGTTCGAAAGACATGTTTGCATATAACCAATTAACTGGCTGCCCTTTTTCTCTGCATGTGAATCCTTTCTGTGGGCAGAGTGCTTGCAGGATAGAAAGCTAATAGTAAGGAAGGGATGTATCTTTAGATCATGATCAGAATACAGTAGCACCTTTAAGGGCAACAAGATTTCCAGGGTATAAGCTTTTGAGAATCAAAGCTCCCGTTATCAAATATAATCTTATATCTGACGAAGGGAGCTTTGACTCTTCAAAGCTTATACTCTGGAAATCTTGTTGGTCTTTAAGGTGGCACCGGACTCAAATCTTGCTCTTCTACTGCAGACTGACATGGCTACCCACCTGAAACTCCCTTTAGATCATATTTGCTAGGCACATTGGAGGGCGTTGTCTTTCCCTGCAGTATGTTTCTGGAGCTGTCTGCCTTGCGGGGATGCCCGTGTGCTCCGTCATGCCTTTTCTGCAAGTTGGATCACGATCTGGGTTTATGTGGAGCAGGGCTGATACAGTGAAGATCTTCTTTCTGGGCAGGGTGTGTGTAACTTTATGACCTGGTCAGTTCCAGCCTTGTCATTCTGATTTCCTTCCCAAAGGGGTTGTGGTTGTGGCATTTGCAGGGCACATTGAGGAGATGCCCATGTCTTAAACTCTTACTAATCAGTTCAATTGGAATGTCGCAGGCTGCAGATAGAGCTGAACGCAAAACAACACCAGCAGTCGGAGAACAACAGATTGCTGCAGTCGCTGCAACTTGAGCTCAAGGTGTATGAAAAGTTAGACGAGACAATCAGAAGTCAAAAAGGTATGAACTAGTGGGATCTTGCCCATAGCTTTTCCTGCTGCAGCCCTCTTGTCTCTGGATCCAGGTCTCTCTGCTTTCTGTTGCTGGCTTTATTTCCCCTAGCTGGAGAAAAGAAGGGATATTGGATCGGCCTTTAACGCAGGGGCTTTCAAAATGTGAGGGAGGCCCCCTTTAACCAGGAGCCTGGGGACACATATGGTGTTCTGGGAAGAGAGAGAATCCTAAGGCAGGTACTCTCTTTCTTCCAGCCGCTTATGACCTGGGTGTCCCCTGGCAGTGGACCCTCATTAATCTCTCTTTCTCTGCTCCCTCAGCAAAAAGTCTGGTTCATGCTATGCTTGTCTTGACTAAAACTGTCTCCTTTTCGGCTTCCATTCTGACATCTCGGCCCTGTCACCTGCATTATCAATCACATATCCTGCCCTTTCTCTGCAGATCTCAGGGTGGCCTCGCTGGTTCTCTCTTTTCCCACTATCCTCATAACAACCCTGGGCTAAGAGAGAGGAACTGGCCCAGGGCCACCCAAGGAGCTTTATGGTTGGGTGGGGGTTTGGAACTCATTCACCTCTCTCTTGTCATTCTGACCAATTGACACCTTAAATCCTTACACTGCTTCTTGCCTGCTCCTAGATGCAGCAGGATTCCTTCTGGGTCTTCTATGTCCTTGCTTGCCATTGTCTTTAACTCACATATCCCAGTAGCCTGTGACCGTTTCTCCTCCGGTTCCTCCGCTGCTCAAAATTTGCCTGCTATCTCCGTTTCCTCTGCTCTTTCTCCCTTGATGCCTTTTATGCCTGAATACTTCCAGAAAACTTTTCACTTCCTTGAAATTCCTCCTCATATCCCATTTTGCCATGTTTGTCACAACCTCTTAGCCCCCATCCTCTACTTAAAACTAAGCTTTAGTATGTATGATAGAGATGTAGGTACATTCTTGTTTATCTTCACTGCACGCTCTTCTCTCCCTTTGTGATTTTTTCTCAAATGTTAGATTGTAGGTTCCTCATCACAGGGACTGAACTTTTTGTACGGTGCTTGTAAAGTGGCAAGATGCATAGGAACACAGCGTCAGAGATTCGATCCAGGGTACAGCAACCCAACAACATATGGCTGGTGTCACTTGAGAAAAACCATTTTCCAAGTTAACATTTCTTCATGCTGTTAAGAATATAGCCACTCGTCTGGGAGCTAATAAATGTTGGTTCTTCCAGATGACAAGCATCTGCTAGTTTAGGATGCAAAATGACTAACATCTGCTAGTAAAAATTTTGTAGGCTACTTACTTCAGTGGACTTCTTTCCAAGGGGGTGATATAGCTTAATTCTAGTGATTTGCTGCCCCTGTTTTCCAGTTTGGGTGAGTTTTCCATTGAAAGAAAAGGAGGAGGGAAAAACTGCGTATGACAACTTAGGGACAGCACAAGTATTCTCTTGGCAACCTCACCAGAGCACTTCTGTAATGCTGATCATAATCTGTCTTCTGCCGGATGTCAAGTAACCCCAGCGTTTTTGGTGAAGTGGCACTGAACTTGTTGGGGACAGCAAAAAAAAGCACAACTTGTGCTTTCAATGCACCCTTTAGTTGGGAATGTATTAAAATGGTGCCATTTGGCCTGTGTGTTGCCCCCATCATATTTTATTAAAGAGCGTGAATTATCAGGAGAAGGTCGGATTCTTCTCTTTTCAGCCTTGCAGCCGTCACTGGGTGAAATAGCCAAAGCTGAAAGATAATGATACGCCAAGCCATCCAGTGAGCGTCATGCTTAAGTAGAGAATAGACTCTGGTTTCCTGCATTTAAGCCAAAGGCCATGCTATTGTCCACGTTGGTGGAGCCCAGGCAGAGAGATAGGCAGAGGGATAGCATGATCATAGCAGCAAGGGAGAGAAGTTCCCAGAAAAATAACATTTGACTATATAACTATTTTAGATGAGTAATATATGATATCCAAGCCATAAGGATGGTGCATCTATCTTGAAACCATAAACTATGATCTGCCTCATTAAGAACATTTCCTACCCTGGTTCTGCTTGGCTCATGATGATTTCATATGGATATATATTATTGCTTTTTGTGTTTTAAGTTGTTGTAAACAGCCTTGAGCATTTTTAAATGGAAAAGCATCATACAAATGTGCTAAGTAGCTAAATTTGGGGAGGAGAGTTGATTTCTCTGATTATATGAAGTTTATATTGGGTTAAATGCAGGTACATTTAACTTATTGTGAACTTCAAAAAGGTTAACTTGCTACAGCTCCAAGCCCAGGGAAGAGAGGTCCTATATAAGTTAAACACAGGGTGATTCCGCACCAGACCTTAAATCCTGGTTCAGCCCTGTCCCCGAACTTACATTCTACACTACACTCGAGTTTGCCCCTGTAATTATCTCGGGGTATTTTTTGTTTCCACATTACACTGAGGTCACCCCAGTTTTGACCTACACTTGTCCCGGGATAAACAGATGCTGTTATAACCAGGGATAAATGCAAGATATTGAGTCATGAACCAGGGATGAGATCCAAGTGTGGAAAAGACCACAGATGACAATCAACTTCAAAGAGGCTCAGCATCTAACAGATGAGGGGCCAACTGCCAAGTGTACCCAAGTGAGAGAGTTCTCTTAACTGTTTCCCTCCCAGATTCTTTTGCATGCAGAGTTACAATATCCAACAGCTTAATCGTATAATGAAAACATTCTCTTTGTTTTTCCTCAGTTTCAGACAGGATCTTTCTGCTATCTGGCCTCTCATGGTTCTCATTTTCCTGTATGAAATGTTCTTTTGTTTCTTTTTGGAGTATTTCTTGTCTTCTCTTTCTCCCCCCCCCCCCCCCAATTCTTTTCTTCTTCTTTCTTCCCTCTCCCCTAAACGATGCTTTGAAATGCCCTTCAGAATTTACAAATCTTTTTTGTTCCAGTCCCTTATTATCCATAATTTTGCCTTGGGTATGCAACATTAGCTTTTATAGACAAATTGAAAAATAATTTTGGCTCTTATTAAATCTTTGGAGGGTAGAAGCAATTAAGATTGATCCCCTCCTCCCCCGGCCATTATCTACCTACTGTTTGTAGTTAGTCCTTAATATCTGGCTCAAATGCGCTCGTTCAGCATTTAATAATGACTATTATAATTGTTCGCAACAGTGATTTATTTTTGTTAAATGTCCTCAGATCTCAGGCGCGACGGATCCGACGAGTGCTGGAAAGATCAAAACAGCCCACTTGACTTGCATGAACTATTAACTGAAATACGGGACCTGAGAACGCAGCTTGAAAGAAGCATCCAGGCAAACAGCACATTGCACGAAAAGCTAGAAGAGCAGCTTTCGAGAGGCAGGAGAGAGAAAGGCAGCTCAGGGTCAACTGTGAATATCAACTACCTTTTGAAACAAGAACTGCAGCATTACACTGGGATAAATGGTATGGCACACCAGACATTCAAATGTGTGGCTTTGCTTTAAAGGGGTTTCTTCAGGTCCAGTCCACCAAGAAGCAGGACTCGAGCATATCTGTGGGTTGTTGCATTTTTCTCTCTTGACAGATTTAACTCCGTTTGAGACAATATTTTGAGAAGGACTCACTGGTCTTTATCTCAGAAACCTCCAACCATTCCTTCCATTTGCTTAAAGGTATTGGGGGGGGGGTTAGACTGTATCTAGCAGAATAGTTGGGTTACATTCCCACACATTTTTTGCTTACCTGAATGGTTTATTTAATGCACAAGCATAGAACATTTGCTCCAGGCGGCAGCGCATTACTCACCAACGATCAATATGTGCTTTGGATGGTCTGTGAATAAATCAGCAGAATAAATTTTGTACCCTAGAGGAATATTTTCCCCCTTTATTTGCATTGCTGTTAAATGAGGGACGCTAGCAATTTAAAGCATAAGGGAAGACAGAAAATACTTACCTTCCATGGAAATCTTCCTCATAAGGGGACATCCAGAGCTTTCCAGCACCATGCGAAATAAATGGACGCTTCTTAGCTCAGAATGCTACAGAAAACAAATACTACACCTCTGGCCGCTGTTTTCTTCTTGTTCGTTGGATTTTGTTGAGTCAGCCTGAAACAAATAAATAACTGGAAGGTGTGCAGAATTAGTTTTGTCTGTTTTGTCTGTTTCAACCCTGTGACGTTTGAACTGTAGCATACAATTCAAATTTGCAGTAAAATTTAATTTTCTTTGCAGGATTTCCAGTGCTGAAAACAGATATTTCTGGTGCTAGCAAATGACTGTAATGTTTATGCTTGAAGGGCCGCTAGGTGGAGGCGTTTGGGGTATTTTTGCTAACCTTTATTTTGGAATTATTCAATAGAATCAGACAGTAATCAGATGTTATCAGCCATCTATTGATAATGAAAAGAGCCTGGTTTGTTCCAGTATGGCGTCTTCCTTACATCCTAGCGCAGAACCAAGCTCAAACACTCCCTCATTTAGGAAGTCTTCAGCCTAACCCCAACATCTGAATTGGGCATGGATAAATCAATGTTGTTCCTTGTCCACAAATCATAATTCCAAATCTCCCAGTTCATGGGCAAGAAGTGAACTCCGTTTTTCCTGATGGATTTGGATGTCACAACAGGCTGTAGTTAGACTGAGGACTTCCAAAGTCAGGAAGTCTTCCCTCTCAGCACTGTGCTGAGGAAGCCTGCAAGCCCGAAGGACAAACCAGGTCTGTTCTCATCACAAACCTGGTTTGTTTGTAACAACTTGATGCAATCCGTGGAGAGGACCGGGTTAGCGTCCCCCAAAGCAGTGGAGAAAGTCTCTTTTGTCATCAGGTGATTTCAGACAGGTGGTGACTTTTCTTTTGGATTTATAGACCTGCTTTCTCCCAAGCATCTCAGGATCCAAGATGGCTAACAACAATGTAACAACAACATGAAAACAATTGGATAAAACAACACATACCAAATACATTAAAATCATGTTATAACCTATCTTAAAAACAGCTTGTGTCCCAACCAGCAGGGTATTTCCCCTTTGCCCAGACTCAGTTTGCCCCGAAGGCTCTCTGGAGTAACTCTGTTTTGTAGCCTTGCCAGAAAGCCCAGAGAGTAGAAGCCCCCTGACCTCTGTTCCACAAGCATGGGGCAGCCACTGAAAAGTCTGAGCCTAGACTACTGTTGCAGAATGTTCCTTAGACAAAGCAAGTACCGACATTAGACACTGCTAGGGAGAATGATGCTTCCTCAGAAGAACATGCAAGAAGAGGCAGTTGTTCAGGTATATGAACCTTAGACTATCAAGGTGAGGACCATCACCTTGAACTATAGCCAGAAATTAATCCGCAACCAGTGAAAGGACCTTAAAATAGCAGTAACATGGTCCTGCCTACTAGCCTGTGAAAACAATCAGGCTGCCACATTTTACACCAGCAGCAGGTTCCTGATCATCCTCCAGGGCAGCCCCCCATAGATTGTGTTACAGTAATCTAGCCTCAAATTTCTGAAGTGTGGATTGGCATAGGCAGATTGGGCTTCTGCAAATAGGGAGCCAGTTTCCTAACTAAGTGTAGCAAGAAACAAAGCATTTGTCAACACTCAATTATCCTATTGCAACACAGCAATTTCAATAAGACGAACTACCCTTAAAGATACGAATGTTTTATAGATGTTGGACAAGTCAAAGCTGAGCCCTTTACGGCACAATCCTATGAATACTTTCCTAGGCGTAAGCTCCATTGAATAGACCTGAGTGGTTTCTGAGTAAATCTTCTTAGGATTGGAAAAGTCCAATAAATTCAATGGGAGGAGTTTAAACCTATACTTAACCCCCCCCCCCCCCGACAGCAGCAAGAATTCACAGTATTGACTTGCCAGACCGTGATCCTTTATTTTATTTTTTTATTTTTTTTGCATAGAAGTTTTGAAGATGGGCCACAAATAGATTTGCAGGGTTTACTCCTCTGACCAGGGGAAATATTACCTTAACTAATTCAGATATCTGATATTTCATAAGTTGGTATCCACACTTTACAGACTTTGCCCATGAAGTTTGTTTTAAAGAAAAAGAGAGAGCTCATGATGTCAAGATATGTTTCAGTCTACAAACTTCTCCACTTTTGAAACTAGTTTGTCCATTTCTTTAGCTGAATTTCCATCCTACCTTTCATGGAACTCCAGGTTCCCACGAGATCTATCCAGGTGCTGCCCAGAACTACTCTTGCTTAGCTTTTTCACAAGGTTCTTGTGCCCTCCACCAATATGCTGAGACACAATTATGGATGTGTAGAATATACACAGCTGTGACATTGCCCTCTTACCGACAGGCTTCTCTTTTGATAACTAGAGTTCAAATTCCCCGCTGCCGACAGCAACGTCCTTGACTTACAGCAGAAGTACGGGTGCTGCACATCACCGTTCAAAGCAGGTACTGCTACAGACACCCAAAATCCTGAGTTTTTAACGCGCCTTCCATATTGTCTGATGAGAACACAAATAATATCATTTATCTGGCCCCACCCTGGCTAATCTGCACTCTGGGAACTCATAGGAAGAATGCAAAAACAAGGCTTTTTTTTTTTTAAACTTCTTACCATCACTTGTGGGGAGGGCAAGGAAAGCGTTCATGGGAGGAACCTGTAGTGGAGCCTCCTGGAATAGCACTTGGTGAATTCGGTCGTTTTTGAGCTGTGCTTTGGAAAGATAAGGAGGAAGAAGAAATTCTAATGAGCCCATCAGAGAAAAAAAGACAAAAGCAGCCAGGATCCAGGTCTAGCTGAGAACCATCCTGCTCCTAGCTCCATCCCAGGGATTATTAGAGAGAGGGCAGGAAGCTGCCAGGCATCCGTCCATCATGCCAGGATCCAGTTGCAGCTGTGAGCTCCCAGCTCCTACCTGGCATCAGCAGGGTCAGAGGGGGATGAGGTGGAAGCCAGGCACTTGATCATCTCGCCTGAAGCAAGACATAATAAAGAACCCCTTCCTCCAGTCGCATTCGAAATGATATTTTAATTGATGCTTCTTCTTTTTTTAATTCTGTTGTCTTTGAGAGCCATTGGTTTTGGCTGAATAGCAGGGCAAAAATCCAGTAAATGAATAAAGTCTAAAGAGACATTGCCTGACCAGGGTTGCCCAGGCTAGCTGGATCTCGGAAGCTAAGCAGGGCCAGCCCTGGTGAGTACTTGGATGGGAGACCACCAAGGAAGTCCCAGGTTGCTACGCAGAGGCAGGCAGTGTCAAACCACCGCTGTTTGCCTCCTGCCATGAAGACTGTACAGCAGGGGTCCCCGACCTTTTCCATCCATGACACAGTGTGGAGGGTACGGCCACAAATTGTCCGCTGCAGGAGGAAGAGCCAGCTACAATATGACTGCAGCTGCTTACCTTTAGTCGCACAGTGAATATCCTTCTGCTGTGGTGGCAGCTGCTGCCAAAGCAACGTTCTTATTAAAAACCTGCTCAGCCAATCAGATCTCCAAAGGCCAATCAGAAGCCCTGCTGGGCAAAAGCTCCACATAACACCCATTTTCTAAAAACACTTGGTGAGCGCCAGGAAAAGTGTTGGTGAGGGCTGTGGTGCCCATGGGCACCACGTTGTGGACCCCTGCCCTACAGCGTCACCATAAGTCAGCTGTCACTTGGCAGCACTTTCCACCACCAAAGGCACATGGGTGGGATCCCCTGATAAGCACATAAGCCTTCAGCCAGTTTGGTGTAGTGGTTACGAGCGGTGGACTCTAATCTGGAGAACCTGGTTTGATTCCCCACTCTTCCACATGCAGCCAGCTGGGTGACCTTGGGTCAGTCACAGTTCTCTCAGAGCTGTTCTCTCAGAGCTCTCTCAGCCCCGCCTACCTCACGGGGTATTTATTGTGGGGAGAGGAAGGGAAGGAGATTGTAAGCCACTCTGAGACTCCGAGTGACGGGCGGGGTATAAATACAACTCTTCTCCTCCTCCTCCTCCCCCCAAATTCAGGTGACCCTTCTGCTCCCCTGGCCCACCCAGGCAAGCTTCTGCTTGCTGTCCCTGGTGTCAGGACAATGACTGTAGTCACCACCAGACTTTATCAGTTTGGTGTCTACCCTCAGAGGCGACGGCAATGCTTGCCTCGCCCAACGGTCCTTCCAGGTGTATGAGAATTATTAGAACACCCCTTTCTCAAACAGAGGGAAGTGGTGGCAAGCCAGGGAAACCACAGTGGGAAAGGTTGAACTGGGGCGATGGATTTGAGCAGCGAGCCATCTTGATCAGGACTGCAGATGTTATCTGACCTTTGGTTTCTTGTGGATTAGATGCAGAGCTATCTTTGGATGACTCGGACAGATCTTCCCAGTGCAGCTCCTCAGCAAGCCAGTCCCATGAGCCTTGCATTGTTCCTGGCCATTGCGTGTGGGCAGACAGAAATGGCAGACACGTCCTTGGCTTGGTCGAGGACTATAATTCTTTACGGAAGCAGATCTCTGAAACGCGAAAGCTGCTGTCTGAACTGGTGCTTCCTCTGAAAGCCATGGGACATCAGGAGCTTGGAATGAAGGTATACAGCTGACTGTTCTTTAACGGTGCTTTCCAATAAACAAAAATGTGACTGAGCTGGTTTTCAAAAATAAATTTGAGTTTTTGTCTCTCATCCCTCTAAAGGTAGAACATGTTGATGAAGTTAAAGGGGATTTTGAGACCAAGAGAGAGGAGGTTACATGCTTCCTCCTCTTCAGGTGGTTAACCATTAATAGATTATTTAATATAGCAAAACAAAATCTCCTCCTAAACAAGATTCAAGCATTGCCCTGATTTTGTTTTGAGACGTCATCATGTAGCTGTATTGGATTGGCTTCATGGTGCCAGGATAGTATTGCTGATAGTGCGATCCCTGAGTGATTAGATTACATAGTAAGCAAGAAGAGCCTTCTTTTTATAAAAATTGAACTTTTAAAAAGAGTGCATCCTCATTCTTGTCGATTAAGTGCTCCAGTGATAGAGCATCGGCCGTGCCTGCCCCCAATCAGCCATCCTTGCAGATGGGTGAGAATTATTCTAGGAAGGCCCCTTTCTCAGACATGGGGTGTTGTAGTCCAGGGAACCCACAGTGAGATGGGGGAAGGGACCGAAGTGCAGATATAAATCCAAGCAACCCCCAGCATCTCCACTTAGAGGATCTTAGGAGGCATTGGCACAGACCTTTCTCTGCTTGAGATTCTGGAGAGTTACCTCTAGTCAGAGTTCTCTCCAAATACTGGATGAGGAAGCCAGAGTTCTGCCACCTTCATCACATGCCAGTTTCTGATGGATCTCTTGCGCTGGCCAAATCTCAGATTCCTCCCGGCATGTACTAGAAAAAATATTCACCGTCTTGATGTGACAAGTGGTGTCATGTAACCGGATGACATTGGAATTTGGAACGAGAGCACCTTTGAGCGGAAAAGCAGTCGACAAGTAACCTAAATACATGTACAGAATGTAACTGTGACGTCCTCCTTATTGGGGAGGACTAGTTTCACTTTAAAAGTTCTCTTTATTTTGTTAAACAGGGTAGATTCTGCTGCCACCAGGAAATTTTAAGGATTTCCAAACCTTTATGCTTATACTTTTGCTCTTACTAGTTTGGTAGACTGAGTTTAAGGCTTACGAGGAACTATGTAGTCCTGGGAAGTATTTCATTCAGAGCTGGTATAAACTTGAATAAAAGAGGATTTATTGAAATAAATACTAAAGAGGGTGATACAATGTAACTAGTAATGTGTAAATGATGTACAATTGCTTTGGTATCACACACAATCTTATCCCTCACTAACAGGGATCTTTTCATGTAACTTTGTAACACTTGTTTATCTCAAGGCCATATATGTTCACTGTTTCACTCCAGTTTGTTATGACCTTCAGACTTTCCTTTAACTTTCTTTCACTTAAACTTTACTTTACTTTTTCCTATATACTCAGCTTTCAGCTCTCTTTCTCTATCTCACTGAACAACCTCAGCTGTCAGCTTCTAACTGCTTCAACACAGAACTAACTGAACACATCAACTGTCAACTTGTAACTGAAACTCCTGACTGACTCACATACTCATCCAACCAGATTCACTTCCAAAACTCCTCCCCCTCTCTGTCAACCACCAATCATACCACACTTGCCTATCTCAACCACTCTAGTCTATCTACCACAGCCATGCAACCAAACTTTTAAAGAGACACATACACACAAAAACAAGGAATCATTACAGTAACAAATTAACATTAGACCCTGACCCGGATTGCGATTGGCACCGTTGATGAGGAAGATGGAAAATGTTCTTCCCCCAAGAAATTGTGGCCATTAGGTCAGGAGCCAGGATTAATAATCGCCCCAACAGTATTCTTAGGTGAACCCCTTTGCCATTGAAGAGGGGTGTAGCTCAGTGGAATAGCATATGTCTTGCATGCGGAAGGTCCCTGGTTCCATCCCTGGCATCTCCTAGAATCTAGAAACCACCCAAGATACTGGAGTGCTGCTGTCAGTCAGAACAGATGATAGTGGACTGACATAGACCAATGGTCTAACTTGGTAGGAAGGAGCTTCACCATAGGAGGGACCATTGCTCAGTTGAGCCTGTGTCATACTTGCAGGTTGAAGCTCTGGTATCACCAATTTAAAGGATCTCACCAGCTTCTAGTGTCCTGGCCCCACTGATGAACCTCCTGATGGCACCTGGTATTTTTGGCCACTGTGTGACAGAGTGTTGGACTGGATGGGCCATTGACCTGATCCAACATTGGCATCTCTTATGTTCTTAACTCACTACTGGCTTTTTCTCAAACAAAACAAGAAGTAGGAATGTTATTAAAATAAATGTCCTGCAGTTTGCAGTGTGCAACCTCACTTTCTTTTGTGGTGGCTCATGATAAAAAGAGGGAGTTTCTTATTACTGTAAAAGCAATCCTACCCCATATATCCCCGTCTGCCCTGGCCCCACTCAACATTTTCTCTGTGCATTTCTCCCCATTCCTCATCTTGGCAGCATCTCCCATTTGTTTTCTTATCTGTCCACAGAAGAAAATATTTTGCCTTGGCCCCAACAGTTAGCTGAACATTAAATGGGACAGTTTAAAGGGCTTGCGAAGGAAGAAACATCTATATTGCCTAAATTAATGTCGGGAGTCATTTGAATTTCAAATACCGTGCCATGAAATGCAAATCACACGAGGAAAAGTCTTTTCCAAGTGGCACAGCAAATGTAGTAAATGTAACCTTTTATTAATTACTGTTATTGATTAGGCTAAGTCACCGTCCGCTCCATCTCCCCCCCCCTCCAAATTCTTGAATAATGTATAATTCCGCAGCCTTTTTAACCTAATAAATTAGTTTTGCCTGGCACACAATACACTTGTTCATCAAAATGAATCCAAAATTCATAGCAAATTGGATTTATGCCATTAATTAAAGCCTACATCTTCATAATCTTTTAAGGATAAAATAGAAAACTTTTATCCCCTCCAATTCTGCAATGCAGGTTGCTTGCCAGGCAACTCTGGACAGACATTCTGGAGCCATCTGTGCTGCACAGCACAACTTGGAAGAAGCGACTCGTCTCTTGAAGCTCTTCTGGAGAGTCTCATTACCTATGAAGGTTGTCCATCAAGCGGCTTACTCTCTTCAGGTACCGGAAACGAAAGCAGCTTGAGTTGAGAGTGCAAACTGTCTGCCCTTATTTATTTGCTGAAAACCTTTTTATTCCAAACCCTGCGCCACAGTGCCTGACACAACATATAATAACAAAATTTGAAAGAGCAGGCAAAGCCACGTGTGTGTGTTAGAGCAGCCAAAGCCACGTGTGTGTGTTAAGTGCCATCAAGTTACTTCCGACTTATGGTGACCCTATGAATGAATTAATGAACAACCTCCAGAACATCCCATCCTTAACAGCTTTGCTCTGGTCTTGCAAAGTGAGAGTGTCCTCGACTGAGTCCATCCATCTCATGTTGGGTCTTCCTCTCTTCCTGCTGCCTTCAGCTTCTCCTAGCATGGTTGTCTTTTCTGGTAACGCCTCATGATGTGGCCAAAGTAGTCTCAGTTTAGCCTCATTTTAGTCATTTTAGCTTCTAGGAAGAGTTCAGGCTTCATTTGATCTAGAATCCACTGATTTGTCTTTTTGGTGGTCCGCAGTATCTAAAAATCTGCTCCAGCACCAAATTTCAAATGAATCAACTTTCTTCCTGTCAGCTTTCTTCAGCTGTCCAGCTTTCACACCCATGCACAGTGATGGGGAAACTGTGGCATGGATTCCATAAAACACACTAAAAACAGAAAATGTGCGTTAAATAGAAGTAACAAGGAAAAACAGGGGACTAAAATGACAGAAAAAAGACAGAATAAAATGTTTTCACGTGGCACTTAATACTGCAAATTTGGTGCCGCAACAGCTTCAGTGGGGAGAGGGTTCCAAAATGGTGGCTTCATGACAGAAAAGGCCCCCTTCCTGATGTTCACACACTATGTCTCAGACCATGGGGGGGGGGCACATAAAGCAGAGCAGGGCCTCTAAAATCTGTCCACATCTGAACCAGGAATACTGGACTAGATGGACTTCGGGCCTGATCAAGCAGGGCCCTTTTTATGTTCTTCTCTGATTTAGCTAGTTCAGAGGAGGAGGAGAAGCCATGCAGGAAACCCAGCCCTTTTTCCTAGGAAAAAGAGACTGCTGGAATTTATTACAAATACAGGCCTTCCCCCCCCCCCCCCGGGGCCCGGGGGGGGGGGGCCCAGAGGGTGAGCTGACCAGGGCCGTCACTTCTGAAGGCAAGGACCTTTTCTGTGACTCAGTGAGTTCATTTAGAAAACCTGAGACAATTGACTAGGATTCCCCTGTGTTGTTTCTGTGGCAAACACACGGGCAGTAAATGAACAAGACCAAAAGGGAACATTGACTCTTTTTGCTCATTGCCTAAAAACGTACCAGTAAATGTGGACTTGGGTCCAGTGGAGGTCACCACTTTTGACTGCCTGGTAGGGCAGTCACAGGAGATCCTATTTTCTTTTCCCTTTGTGAATATAATTCCTATGTGCTGGAGGGCCAGTGCCCATATACTGGTGTTCCCCTGTATAGTTGAGCCCTGAGAACACTGTATGGAGCGAGAGAGCATGTCCAAATCTTACCAGTAATATACTGCCTGCACCAGGGCTGCCAAAGAGTGCTACTAGTTTAGCTGTGCTGATTTCACAAATCGATCGCCAGCAACAAGGTTTGAAAGACAGTCCAGTGCACATGTTGCTGACTCACGCTGAAATAAGTGGGGGGGTCCCATTTGCCCCGAATTCCATGTATGTACATCAGTGGACCACATAGCAGTGGCGATGAAAGTTCACATTGTTGTTTTCTCCTGAAGGATGAAAGCATGAAAGCAGAGCTGCATCAGCTCCGGAGGAAATTGGCCGAGCAGGAAAAGACATTGCACAGCACCATGATGCACTTGCACTCGACCAACCAGCTGAAAGAAAACATGGAGAAAGTCATCATCAATCAGTGTGAGTGAGCTTCCCTTCCCTTTCCCCTTTTATTTATTTATTTATTTTGCTTAAAAATTCCTTTCCAGTATTCAACATAGATTACAGTAGCAGTCAACAGCACAATAAAACAACAACACTGAAATAGTGAAATGGACAAATCGGAGAAACGGCTTCCAGACATCATACTCCCGGAGAAAGTAGTGTTCAGCTGAAAGCCAGTCTTGAAAGACAGGTTATACTATCTCCATTCTAAACTGCAGTGCAGAAGCCAGTGATCTAAAATCAGACCAGTTGCACCTTAAAGATCAACAAAAATGTCCAAGGTATAACCTTTCATTGAGTCCAAGCTGAACTTTGACTCACAAAAGCTTACACCCTGGAAAACTGTGTTGGTCTTTCAGATGCTACTGGTCTCTCTTTTTGTTCTGATACTACAGCCTAACACAGCTCCCACCTGAAATGATTCAGAAACAGAAGCTAGCAACAGTACAAATACCATCAAGCATAACATCAGTGATAGGACAGCAGTGAAAAGACTTTTAAAAAAAGAGTAAAGGAATTATACCCAGCAAGGAAATCAGCAGCACAAGAAAACAAATGAACATATCAGGGAATCTCGTCACAAAATACCTTCTTGAATACAATGATTTGCGCAGATTTTTGGAAGGTGAGAGTGAGACAGATTTCATGGGGCAAGGAATTCCAAAGCCCAGAAGCTGCTGCTGAAAATCTCTTCTTTGGGCCCCGCTTGGCACTGAGCAAGTTGTCTGGAAGGGAAGGGGGCTCCTTTTCCCCACACCTTTGATTAAAAAAAAGAAAGGTAAATCCATCCCCCCTCTGCAATATAGGAGGAATTTTTCACCTTCTTCAAAGGCATCTGCTTGAAGGGACAAACTGGCTTAGTGAACCCGCCTAGCATGCAATTATGTTCTTAGGAGTAATTAATCTGGAATTGAAAATGCCATCTTCGCACCCTCCCCTGAAATGTGTAGGAAATGAACCTGCATAAATGTCGCAAGTTACTCAAGCCACTGGAATGAAACATGCCCTTGCTTTTGATGTCAATTATTAGACACAAAACCTCACAAATATACCATTTTTAAAGGTTAACACGCATCCTTTCCCATCGGCTTGTCCTTTCAAGCCCATTTTTAAAGAGGAACTTCTCCATTAACAAACAACACAAACAAAAAATTGGGCTTTATTAGCTCCATCTCCACCCCTGTATGGGGGGGGAGGAGCTTTTGAGTTCTGTATGGACTGTTTATGATGATGATTTGTTATTTAAAAGTGTCCCAAAGCATTGGGCACTGCACCAGAATTAGAAATCAAAGTGGTCCTGTGTGCCCAGGGTCTTGTATCTATTCTCCCTTTCTTTTTTGCTATATCCAGCCACCTCTACCCTGTATTAACTCTCTGTTCCCTAGAGAGATCAACTGCCCAAGTGGGTTATTGGATGCTTTCTGGGTAGGAACTTCTTGTTGGCTGAGGTACCAGATCCTCTCCGCCTGGGCCAAGTGGTTTTATCAAGAGTCCTCCTCTCCCTCCCCTATTCTCCCTTCCCAGGGCCCTTAGTATTGTGGAAGGTGTGAACTCACCATGTGGGGAGGTTCCCGGGCCTACTAATTCATCAGTCATAGTGAGCACTCTAGTTCAGCAGTATGTTACAGTATATGGAGGGTGGGGATTTGAAACAGTTGGGTCAAAAGAGAAAATAAGTGGGAATTACATATGCTGCAGTGATGCGTGATTGAGTGACATGCAGATGTACAAAACAACTGGGACCTGGACACAATTGTAAATCAGCGGGGCCACCAGAACATGCTGAAATCCAGTGCCCAGTGGAGGTTTAGAACTCCGACTTGGGCTGTTCAGGGCTTGAAGTGGGACACAAAAGCATAGAAAGATCATAAGTCATACGCACACTTATGGAGCAGTAAGTCCTCTTCCAATCTAAATATGCATGCACAGGATTGGGGCTGCACATTATGCAGAATAAGCCTGGTGGGGGTGGGAAATGGGGGCAATGAACAAACTGCATGGCTGTTGTTGCAACAGAAATAAAAGGACAACACTTTTATTTCTGGACAACACTTCCAATTACCATGTCAGATTACACAGGGAAGCCATTGAAATTCATAAACACAATTAGAACAGGAAAGAAGAGAGTTTAAAAATAAATAGGGCATGGTTTCCTGTCCTGAAAAACACAAACGGCTCTACATTTGACAATAGCACTACAGATAAGATTAGAATTTCAACAGCCAATCTACATACAAAAGAACCTCCTCAGAAAGCAGGAAATCTCCTCAGGAAACAATCCATATACAAAAGAACCTCCTCAGGAAAGCTCCTCCATTAGCATGTCCACAGCCTGGGGAACTCCTACAAGATAATGACTCAGCCCTACCCCACTTTCCGGAGTAGATACAAATTACCTGCCTACCATTTTTCTTCTCACCTTGACACAGAGAGTACTCCATCTTTCTGTGTTATACGTCTGAGGATGCCAGCCACAGCTACTGGTGAAAGGTCAGGTCCTACAATGCCAAGACCACGGCCACACAGCCCGGGAAATCTACAGCAACTAATGAACTCTGGCCGTGAAAGCCTTCGACAACATATAGAAATAGAAGGATTTTTTCCCCACTGCAGACAAGAATAGTGCTTATGGGTGGGATGTAAAACTTGGAACAGGACATGTTCCAAGTTCGTAATGGGACCAGAGGAACGGTGTCAGGATCCTGAATTTAAACATGCGTGTCCTGGCTGGTTGCAGCCATCATGCTCTGCCTGCATTTTTGTCTCCTCAAGCCCCTTCCCTGCACGCAGAGCCCTGTGAAAAATAAAACCAGCCCGCAAACTCTCTGCCCATTATTTTCTCTTTGCAGTGGCCTTAACTCACGACGTTTTAAAGAAGGCGAGAGGAAACCTGGAAGTGAGTAAAACCCTCCTGTCTGTTAATTACCTCGTGTCGTTCTCCCTCTTTCCTGCTGTGGCCTGTTCATTTATACGAGCAACATAAATTGCCTTGTTAATCATGTGCTTTGCAAAATTGCTGGTCATTGGCGTGGCATGCATATCTTGGGGGGAAGATAGCTCAGTTCCTACCTGTTGGATTCAACAAGCAGGACTTAATATTTAATGTGCACATTGCAGGCTGATGAGATCTTTAATGGCTGTGTCCAGATAAACTGGCTCGGCCTTTTATTTTCCCTGTCCCCCTGTGGCTCATAGGGATCCCTTGTCCACAGCCACTAATTTTATTTCAGGCTATAATCCCTGAGAAAAGGAGAGGAAGGGGACAAGACAGCCTCAGCTGTAGGTGAAGCCGGACCCGCCCCCTGAATCGGTCAAGCCGTTTCCCCTTCCTGCTTCCAGTTGCCCTTCAGAGCCCACTTCTTTTGTTCAGCCACCCATTCCAGTGTATCTTCTCCTTTGCTGGTCCCAGTCTAAGCAGTCATTTGTCCGCCTCTGTCATGTTCATCCAGTCAGGGGTATCTTTATTCAATCCCTGGATAAAATGGCTTCCTGTGAGCTTCCCACGGTAGGGGTGCCCCCCCCCCCGGGAAGGAGTGCCGTGCAGTGCAGTGCAGCCGCTCTGAGACTCCAAGTGAAGGGCGGGGTATAAATCCAATCTCTTCTTCTTCTTCTTCTTCTTCAGGCTCTGACCATGGGGCCTGAAGGAGGGTGAGAGAACCGTGGTCAACTCCTTCCTCTGGGCAGCCCTCCCAGCTGGAAATGGGAAATCGCTTCTGTGGCCCTTGTGACAAATGCAGCTCCCATTTCCAAACTGTGAGAAGAGGGGCTCCGGGAGAAGCAGCAGCAACAGGGCATGGCTTGTCCCCACCCTACTGATCAGTGCAAGTGCGGGCTCTCTCTGGCAGCTGCCCAGACACATCAGATCCTTACACTGGCCTGTCCCCTCATATTTTCTCATTGGGTCCCCCTGGACGTGGCATACCTGTGTCTAGGTGGTACCACCTCAAACTGTAGGTGAGGAATCTCGTGATGAAATCCTCTCCTGTCCCCCCCCCAAATCACTCCGCTTAGAAAGGTATCAGGCCAAGGAGAAAGTTAGGTCCGAACCCTGCCATAATAGTTTTCTATGTGGAGGGACATCTTGCATATGAATCATGAGAGCTTCCTCCCGCAATCTGAAATATTACCACGTTTCCCTCTCATGTGAGGCTGTAGTTTTGAAGTCATCCAGTATCAACCGCAGCTTCGGGTCGCAGCGGTGACTTCTGCCAGTTTCAGCTGTTCCTTTCTTCCCCAGGTTCAGCCAGCCGAGAACAAAATCTCAGCCGCCTGTTTGAGCACGAAGAGGGCTCTGTGAAGGCAGCGGAGCCCCAATAAAGGCCAATATTCCATACTGACCCTCTTCTTCTGACTGTTTCCTTTCTCTCAGGGCCTCGTTAGTTATTGTCTTTCAGATTGACTTTCTCAGCATATCATCTGCATCTCGCACTTGCTTGGGGGGTGGGGGAGGATTTGGAAAATAATAATTTATTTTACGTCTGATTTCACAGATTCAGATGTTAAAGATAACTAGAAGATTTAAAAATAGGATTTGGTTGTTTGGGATTTTTTATATGCTCCAATTTTTTTCTTTCTTTTTAAAAATAAAACCTCTAGAAGGTTCTTGGGTTTTTTTTTAAAGTCAAGGTACAACATTTATTCATGTTGGAAATCGCAGTGCAAAATACAGATCTCTTGTCAGTGCAATGAAACAGCAACAAAAGCTGTGCTCCAGCAATTTAATTTAGGTCTGTTGTGCCTAGATGGGTTTTTTTTGGAATGTGGGAAACCTTGAATAATATTTTAAAGTGTTGTGATTATTTGCTTGAAGGGTTTAGTGGAAAACTGCTGGATGCGGCAGGCGAGTTTCTAATCCAGATCATCACAACAATCTGATGCCGGGTTAGAAAAATGTTAACTCAACCAGATGCTTATTTTGTAATGGCAGATTTAAAAAAAAATGTCCTGGGGGGGAAATTAAGTTTCAGAGGACTGTGCTCTACAGGAGTTGCTGCTTCAGTTCCCCTTGTCTGGAAATGTACGTGCGCACTGTAGCCGGAGAGGGAAGGGAACAGAACCTTCTCAACAGGTACGCTTTATCGGGGTTCAAGAGAGACCCCGTTAGGGATACAGGCCCATTACCACAGGATGATCTATTTCTGACATTTCAGAAATAAAATAGACCTTTTTCTTTCATGACTTTGGAGGTTATAGGTACGGGATAGGACTGGGGAAGGTTGGGTCAGTGTTACAAGTTTGTACCAGGCCCAGAGAAATGTTATTTGGGTGCCACTTCTTAGTGGAGAGGCCCTTCGTGGTAAGGCCCAGTTGTTGTTGTTGTCCATGTGTGCTTGAGGGCTTCTGGATGTCCCTTTTAGAGACTGTTTAAAATTCTGCAAACTGGCTTTCTCGATAGTTTTCACTGTGTGTGAGGGATATTTCTTGCCGAATGCAGTGCCTAATGCAGGTGTATGTTTCTGCGGTATGAAACGTCTAATCCTGTTGTGTTATGTTTCTGTAACTTGAATGAATGATTTTTTGTTGTTGTTGTTGCAACTACCCCAAGGAGAAATTTTGTTTTAGAAATGCAAGATAGGGACCTTTGGGAAATGCATATTCCCCAAACAGACATTACAGAAATGTCCACTTTCCCCCCTTCTCACTCTTGGTATCTCAGATCATGCTTGAAGAAAGTAACTTGCGAAGTAATCCTGAGGAATGAGAAGCTTGTGGTATCTTAGAGACAAAACAGATTTCTTGTAGCAGAGACGTTTGAGCCTGTTTGGTCAGGTGCGCATACACACATGCCCATTTCACACGAGAGTGAAGAATAAATTCTAAGCAGTGGGGCTAAGAAGGGCATGAAATGTAAGACGTCCTGCCCAAGACCGTCCTATGCAATGAACGCATTGACCGTTCACAGCAGCAGTAATTAACAATAATGCAGTGTTTGTAGCTTAACTATAAGATGTGTTGTAGGAGGTAGTGACCTGATCTTGATGAAGTCTTAAAACTGGTGGTCACTTTAGATCTTGGAAGGTTTAAAATAGAAAAAGGACTGCTTAAATCAAAGGGATTTAAGCACTGGGTTAAGCGTTTCTAGCTTTCTTTCAGTCACACTGAAAATCTGCAACTAATTAGTGATTTAAGGGAGTGTAGGCCACTTAGCACTCCTTGGAGGAATGAACAGGATATAAATGTGCTTGAGTACTGTCAACAAATTAGGGCTTGCCCTGTGAGAAAGGTCTGTCTACTAGGCTGGATTTCCTAAATTTCTAAACCTAGAGAGTAGTTTGGATCAGAGTTAGAGGGAATCCACAAAGTCCTGTAGAAACCAGAGATGCACAATCAACCATGGGTTGGATCCAGCCAGCTTTTTGGCTTAGTCTCACTTTTCGGGTCCTTATTACAGCCCCTTTCCTATATTACAGCTCCTGTCCATTGAGGTCCTACAGATCCCCAATATATTTTTTGGGGTGGTCGAAGGGGACTCCTCCTCTCTTTTCCACCAGAAGAAAAGCTGGTTGGAGCCAACCTGATGTCTTCGGTTGGCCCAGATCTTCTATGCAAGGGACTCTTTCATCATGCCAAAGTCCTGTGTTACTCAGAGGTTTGCAGAGCAGGTGCTCCCAAAGACTAGTCCAGTGATCCACTCTCAACTGACCAATCCCAACTGGCACCAAATCCATCAACAACAGAAGGCAGATGGTACAAAGAGAACAGTCATCAAGATTTTGCTTTTTGCCAAGTATTGAATTCTCTAATTTGATTTCTCTAGTCTTAGGGAAAACTAACAGCCAGATGAAGACCTCAAGTTGCAAGTGTTAGGCAGAATAAATCAAACCAGCTACCACATGTGCCTGTTCTTGGCTTCTGGTTCTGGAAATGACTGTCCCAGCAGAAACGGTCCATAGATGCTTTTTTGATTCTCCAGCATTTTCTATCAGGTTGAATTATATGGTACAAGCATTGCTGCAGTGGTCGAAGACCACAGTTGGTTGTTGTGTTAAGTGGGATCTGATTTTCATGACATGTTGTATATAGCAATGTGATACTGGATGTAAAAAAACTAACTGAACTGAATCAAAAGAGATAGTGTGTGTCTGATCTAAATGCTGATTTAATAAATTGATCCTTTTATTTAAAAAAACCCCCAACCCTGTTTCAGTGTGGTCTTCCCCTACTGCCCATTTTTGTGCCCGCCTGTCTCTGTCTCTCTTCATTTGACTTGTGAATTGCTGCCAAGCACACAAACATCTGAATCTCAGGTGGTATACCAAGAGCAGTCAGACAGGAGCAACAGTTGTGTGACATTCCTTAGCTGTGGCTTCTGCAAAGCTCAGGAATTTAGTCTGATACCAGAGATGCCCGCTATCTCCTTTACTGTTTATATTTACTATAGAATCGTTAGCCGAAAGGATAAGAAACAATGAGATGATAATAGGACTGAGAGTAAAAGGTGAAGTTTTTAAACTGCAAGCTTTTGCAGATGATTTGATCTTTATATTAGAAGAACCAGAATACTCCTTAACTTATTTAATAGAAGATATTCAGGAATTCGGTAACTTAGCTGGATTTAAAATCAATTTTCAAAAAACTAAAATTATAGTCAAAAACTGCCCACATAAATTGACACAAAAAATAAAAGAAATCTCAAAAATGGAAGTAGTGCAGAAAGCGAAATATCTAGGAATATGGATCTCAAATAACCCATCGGCACTATATGAAAATAATTACTTACAACTTTTAAAAGATATAAAAGGAGACTTAAACCATTGGGATAAAATACACCTCTCCTTACTGGGCAGAATAGCGACGATAAAAATGAATATCCTTCCAAAATTCCTTTTTCTCGCACAAAACTTACCAAATACTTAAAAATTATAAGTACTTCAAGGATCTGGAGGAAAATGTAGGTAAATTTATATGGCAGTCCAAAAAACCGAGAATAAAAATTAAAGACCTTCGGGATAGTAAAAAGAAAGGAGGCTTTGCTTTGCCTAACTGGCAGCTGTACTATTCTGCAACTTCAATTATATGGATTAAAGACTGGGCAGCGTTAGAAGACACCAGAACATTCGCTTTAGAGGGATCGGATTTGGTAATGGGATGGCATGCGTACTTATGGTACGGGAAAGATAAAATCCATTCTAACTTTCACATACACATAATCAGAAGTTCCCTTATTAAAGTTTGGAATCTAATAAAATTACATTAAAATACCAATATGGATATCTCCGATAGTGGCATTTGCCAAACCATCACTAATAACAGGAAAAATTAAAGAAACTTATGGCAATTTATTAAATTAAAAAGCTGAGTTAAAATCAGATGAGGTATTATTAAAACAGAACATAAAACTATCCTGGTGGGGAAAAAATGTTTTAAAATCAAGATGCAATGAAGACAAAAAAAATAGGATTCTATACTAGCCTAAACGAATTTGATAAAATTTGGCTTTCTTCCAGTGATAAACTAATTCAGAAGCTCCATACAAAACTGTTAAAGGAATCTCTACAAGAAGAGACCATAAAAAAATCAATGATAGCTTGGATAAAAGAGATTGGGCATACAATAGAAATGAACCAATGGATAAAAACATGGAAAGCATTAAAATATATGAGTGTAACTCTGTATAAGGAATATATATATAAAATGTTTTTAGGTGGCATTGGACCTCTGTTAAAATTGCAAAATGTTTCCCGAAGGCATCAAACATCTGTTGGAGATGTAGAAGAAATATAGGATCATACCTCCACATATGGTGGAGGTGTGACAAAATTCAGATATTTTTTTTGGGGGGGGGAATTATAATTTTTTAAAGATATATTTAAAATCAATAAAACTTTAACGCAAGAAACATATTTACTTAATATGATACCAGATACAATAAAAAACCACACACATATAATCGCATATTTATTAACAGCAGCCTGAATTCTGATAGCAAAACGGTAGAAATCAAAAACTATACCATCTATAAGAGAACTCAAATACAAGATTCTTGAAGTAGCAGAAATGGACAAACTGAGTATAGTACTACAAAATAAGCCAGAGGAGCTTTTTTGGGACAGATGGGAAATAATTTATACCTGGCTGAAGATGAAGAAAATAAAATAGAACTGAAAGCTTGCTAGTTAAAAGATATTTGGTGATAAACAAGAAAGATGAATTTTATATATTATGAATTGTATAAGCTGTAATTGGATTTGTTTTCATATTTTTGTTTGAGTGAAAACTGAAAAAATAAATTTCAAAAAAAAAGGAATTTAGTCTGATACAGTGGGGCAGACATCAGACTACGATGGCCTCTCCTTTAGCGCAAGGACATAGTACATAATAAGAGCAACTCAGTGTGCCAGGGAGGACTGGATCCTTAGGCAAGGAAGAAGGCACTTTGAAGCTGGAGTTATGCTGGAGTTCATAGCTACAGATCAGGAAATCCCTGGTTTTAATTTCACT